TGGTCACCAATAGTCTCACCATTGGCGGGAAAAGTGCAAAAAAAAATCCTAAACCTTTTGTATTTGTGCCAATTTAGTCCTAAACCTTTTTTTGGAGTCAATTCAGTCCTAAACCTTTTTATGATGTCAATTCAGTCCTAAACCTTTTGCATTGATGCCAATTCAGTCCTAAATCTTTTGTTTTTGTGCCAATTCAATCCTTCCGGTCAATTTTGGCCAGATTTTGCTGACGTGGACGCCGGCCGGCTGGCAACCGATCACCGATGCTGACGTGGACAACTTAAATAATATTTTAATATTTTTTGAATATTTATTTATTTATTTATTTTCTTTTATTTTCCCCCTCCCTTCCCTCATTCCTTCAGCCGGTCGCCGGACCGGCGACCGACCAGAGGCTAGAATTTGGCGCTGGCGAGGCTTGCCCACGCCGGCCACTGGCGAGGTCGTGCCTCGCCCAGCCGCCGGCGAGGCTCGCCCTTGCCATGGCTAGGCGAGGCTCGAGCCCTTGCTGGAGGCCGCTGGGGAGGGCTCGAGCCTCGCCATGGCTGGGCGAGGTTTGACCTCGCTGGATTTGGTGAGGTCGAGCCTCGCCGGCAGCTGGCATGACCTTGTCCAGACATGGTGAGGCTTGCCTTCGCTGTTGCTAGCGGGGGCGAGCCTCGCCCAGCCGCCGGCGAGGGCGAGCCTCGCCGGCACCGGCCTCTGGCCAGTCGTCGGTCCGACGACCGGCTAGAGGAAGGAGGGAGGGAAGGGGAGGCGAAAAAAAAAAGAAAAGAAAAAAAGAAAAAATAAATAAACATTTAAAAAAATATTAAAATATTATTAAAGTTGTCCACGTCAGCGCCGGTGACAGGCTGCCGGCCGGCCGGAGTCCACATCAGTAAAATCCGGCCAAAATTGGTCTGAAGAACTAAATTGGCACAAAGACAAAAGGTTTAGAACTGAATTGGCACAAATGCAAAAGGTTTAGGACTGAATTGGCACAAAAAAAAGTTTATGACTAAATTGGTATCAATGCAAAAGGTTTATGACTGAATTGGCACAAAAAAAAGGTTTATAACTAAATTGGCACATATGCAAAAGGTTTAGGACTTTTTTGGCACTTTTCCCCACCATTGGCCTTCATTTGATTGACAAGAGCCAATGTCCATGAGAAATAGTCGGAAATGGACTTCGACTTTTCCATTTGAAGGAGCTCGAATTGTCGACGAAGAGTCTGAAACCGAACCTTCTGGACCTTCTCAATGCCTTTGTATATTTTGATGAGAGAGTCCCAATCTTCTTTTGCCGTCTTCGAATTCGCCACTTTTTCAAAGATTGACGAATCTATCGCTTGAAAGTTGTAAAAGAGAGCCTTACGATCTTTCTTGCGATTTTCTTTTATCGTCCTCTGCTCCTTCGTTGTCAAATCTGTCGGTGTTTCTGGCTCCACGAATCCTTATTCCACAATCTCGGTCAGCTCTCGAAACCCGAATAACACCTCCATCTGGATCTTCCAATGCTCAAAATTCTTCCCATCGAACCTTGGGAGTTGAGGTTGGATTGTCCCGGCACCATTCATAGAGGCCATATGACACGAGATTTTCTAAGCGGAATTCACAAAACTCAACCAAAATTGACTCTGATACCAAATGTTGAAATAATAAAATTTGGAATTGATGTTCTAATATTTCTTGAAGGATTACATAATATTTATAGACCCTTTAGATAACTAGAATAATTAAAAATTATCTTGAAAACAAGCAACAATAAGTAAACATAATTTCCTAGATAATAATTTCCAAGACTCCAAGTCTCTAGATAATAATTGCATGAATCCAATTCACAAGATGAGCTTGGATTACGAAAAATCTTTTTTATTTCCAACATGTAACATCTATTCAGTTCTCCAACTTCTTTTAGTTCAATTCTTCTTCAGTTAACCTTTGAATACATCTCAACTATCACTCTGCCAATTAGAATTTTTAGCTTAGATCTATCTCACTTCTAATGACTAGTGCTTTTGCCATCAATCAATTTTGTATTATGATCTCAAGTCACAATACTGATATTAACATTCACATTAACAGCATTCTATTGGTACTTAATTCTAGTATTCCATTGCAATCTTTCTCCCTATTCTTTCCTTTTTTGTTATAAAGAATCAATTATATATCCACAAGTTATCCAAACAGGTCGGTAAACCCCAACTACCAACCCTCTAAAAGTTTAGGGAATGTAAAAAAGTTCAGCTGCAAATTCACATCGATTCCCAATCTATGACACGATGCAGATCAGCAGAATATTCTCATAAACATATAGACCCTTCTTTATGATACTTGCCAAATAACTTTTTTGCATGTCTAATCTACTCAAGACTTCTAAAAAGAAACGGGTAAAACAAGTTGATATCTTACTTTCCAAATTAAGTACACGAGCTCTAGGCCAAAATCTAGCTACAAACTTAAAAAATCTCCACCTTTATATTTACTAATCCACCTCATCTCGTGTTGCCATGGACTGATGTATCCATGAATACTCCATGGTGCTGAAAGGACAAACTACACGTGTACCAAAGCCTACTCTCTTTAGCAAACATTTCTACAAGCATGATTGTCCGAGAAAAGAAGATTCATTTGACACATGAAAAGTGGCACTTAAATGTCGCACAACATCTTGAATATTAAAGGATGAACACGTGATGAGAAATGTTTACGTACATCCGACATATGGGAATCGGTAGTGAGAGGAGGGAGTACATATCTGGAGTACATAAATATTTTTCACACTTAATTGGCTTTTCATTGGAACATTAACTTGGATCATTGTTTAAACGCTTTTAGAGGAATTTATGCTAAGGTTCAGTAAAATTTGTTGTCGTGATGAGGGACCGCATCAAATGCTAAAGTGGATAACATCCTAACTCCATATATTTATTACACTCTTGCAAGACATTAATAAAAAATTAAAATAAATGAGGCCGTGGCCGGCAACCGGCCACAAGTTGGGCTTTATCATATCGAAGTGTGCTTCATAGTTGAACAAATAGAAAGTTACCCTTTATCTATAACAGATTAAATTAGCATTTGACATCATTCCATCAACTATTTTAATCATTCAAAGATGGAATAAATAAACCAACTTTACCTAAAAAGAAGAATGGGGTGCCTTGGGTGAATAATAAACAGCCTTCCTTTTTAAGCTTAATAAACAGCCTTCCTTTTTAAGCTTATTTCTAATGATTATGTTAATTATGGAGAGAATTGGAAAACAAATTAAAATTACACCAGCTTAATAGGCTTATAGGGGAAAAGTGCCAAAAAAGTCCTAAATCTTTTGCATTTGTGCCAATTTAGTCCTAAACTTTTTTTTGGTGCCAATTCAGTCCTAAACCTTTTGCATTGGTGCCAATTTAGTCCTAAACCTTTTTTTGGTGCCAATTAAGTCCTAAACCTTTTAAATTGGTGCCAATTCAGTCCTAAACCTTTTGTTTTTGTACCAATTTAGTCATTCCGGTCAATTTTAACTGGAATTTGCTGACATGGATGCCTACCGGCCGGCGGCCGGTCACCGGCGCTGATGTGGACAACTTTAATAATATTTTAATATTTTTTTGAATTATTATTATTTTTCCTTTTTTTTCTTTTTTTTTCCAGTTTTTTTTTGTCCCCCCCTCCTTCCTCTGGTCGGCGAGCTCGACCTTGCCGGCCACTGGCGAGGGCGGCGGTCTCGCCCGACGAGGGCGAGCCTCGCTTTGGTCGGGCGAGGCTCGACCTCGCCAGATCCGGTGAGGTCGGGCCTCGCCAGACCATGGCGAGGCTCGAGCCCTCGCCGTAGGCCGCGGCGAGGGCGAGCCTCGCCACCGGCCAGAGGAAGGAGGGAGGGACAAAAAAAAAGTGGAAAAAAAAGAAAAAAAATAAAAATTCAAAAAAATATTAAAATATTATTAAAGTTGTCCACGTCGGCGCCACGTCAGCGCCGGTGACCGGCCGCCGGCCGGCAGGCGTTCACGTCGGCAAATTCCGATCAAAATTGACCGGAATGACTAAATTGACACAAAAACAAAAGGTTTAGGACTGAATTGGCACCAATTTAAAAGGTTTAGGACTTAATTGGCACAAAAAAAAGGTTTAGGACTAAATTGGCACCAATGCAAAAGGTTTAGGACTGAATTGGCACCAAAAAAAGGTTTAGGACTAAATTGGCACTAATGCAAAAGGTTTAAGACTTTTTTGGTACTTTTCCCGGCTTATAGAGATGTCACATAAATCATTTTCTTTTGTAAATATACTATTTGCCAAGCTTTTATCATGTGACTAAGACAATAATCATTGTAGATGAAATAATTCATACAACTTTATTCATGTTAGATCATCGCACATAAATTTTTTCCATTAGCAAAAAATTGGTGTTCACCCTAGTGGATAAAGGCGTTCTTCAAAAACTGCAATAGCTCGATGCCCAACTACCTAAATTAGTTAAATTTCATCACAAAATCAATAGTTTGGTCAACAATCCAATCCAATCGGTGGCCGATTCATTGGGTTGAGCGGTTGAATCTGGTCAATACCGAGATTGACCAAACCATGGTTCGGCTCCCAATCCAACCGGTTGAACCGACCAGTCCAATCCCGATTTGGAAACACTGGGGACAAGGGCCATAGGGGACGGCACCATCACCCCCTTTGATTTTTTTTTTTGTTTTTATAATTCTCAGTTGTGTTTTTCTATTTTCAATTTTTAAAATTTTCTGACATAGCATTAAAAAAACTACCTGATTTTGTGTTTGAGAAAGTTTTGTCACGAGCCGCATAAGATTCAAAAATGAAAAAAACGAGGGAATTTTCCCTCAATTAAAACTGACGAAATGAACAGTTAATTGTATCGAAATCATAATAAATTTTAGGATGTAAATGGGTCAAGTAAAAATATTTGGGGTTTAAATGTACGAATACCATAAAATTCAAGGACTTGTGCAGCAATTTTCGAAAAAGAGAGAAGAGAGAGATTTACGGTAGTATTGTCCGTGCAGCTTCGACAAGAAGATCAGGACATCATAGGAGGAGGATTCGCCCCTGCTATGAACCTCCGGAGATATCACCTCCTCTTCCATCGAAACTCCCACTTGAGCCTCGAAATTCCTGCGCAGCTTGGCTGAATATTGTATCCGTTCGAGCTGGAGCTTTCGGATGATGGCGATGGAATGTGGGTCCATCGCGATCTCGCTCCGCAGTGACGATCTTGAAATGGGTCGGCGTTCAAGAAGCCGGAAACGATAAACTTTGGCACGAAAAACCCACCAAGTTGGATGATAATCGTGTCGTTCGAGCTGGTGTGCGAGGTAACATTTTGGGTTTGGATAGTTCTTTGAGAACGTTGTCTTGTCAGCTTGATCCGTGCGATATGCATGGGGGCACGTTGATGCTTGTTGACAGGTCTGGTTGAACAAGCTACGGTGTTCTTATGGCTGTGCATTCTTTAAGTTGAACAGTTGCACTGTCAAAATTGTTCATTTGATGAATGTCCATGTTATCATGTTAGTGTATTTTTTGGTGGCTACTTAATGCGTAAAATCTTGCTTACATATGTGCACAAGGTGAACCCTGAGCCTTTTTTGTCTTCGTAATTTTGAGCCATTTGGATGTAGCTGCTCTCCATTTGAGTAATTTTTTGAACTATGTGTTGAGAAGGAATCCGTTGCATCGCGGGGATTCGGATTTTGGACTGTTTCTTTGGAATCAGGCATGCATGATTTAGGCAAAGTAGGTGAAAATGACAGAGGGAAAGGCTGCTCCTCCTGAAATGAAGTGCCAAAAGTAAATTTTCTTCATCATAATTTAAGTCTTGGATGGAGAACTCCTGAAGTATGAGATCATGCAGCTTTTAAGCTTGTGTCCAGCTCTATGAATGAGTCTAAGCATCCTCTTTCCTTCCTAAATTGGATGGAGCCGAAAGACCTTCTTGTGTCCTGATGCTAGTGAAGGAATGAAGTAGCATATTTTACTTTGTGGGGATTAATTTATGGACAAAGGTTTCTGCACTATCAGTACTTATTCCATGTGCCAAGTGAGTTCTCTGCAGAATTTCCATAACTGCTTGCTTTGTAAAGGTAATCAGGGCAGGAACGTTCAGATTGCGATTGTAATAAAAGAATGCAGTCAGTTAATTAAATCTCTCATCTGTAGGTCATGTACAAGAAATAGTAGTTTCTGTCATTCTTGGAGGAAATGGTTTTCATCCCGATGCAGGAGGAAATTATCAAAATCTCCTACTGATTATTGACTAGCTCACATTTATCTTAGGTTAACATTATGGTGAACTTAAACTTTAGAAAGCTCTGCCAGTTGCATCTTCAAAGTATAAGTTAGATCCTGATCTTAAATAAAACCAACTGAATTCGCTATGTCATGACTTACTTTGTATGCTTAAATCTATGAGCAAGATTTTAAATCAGCAAGATCCCATTTATAGTTTCACCTGTATTGACTTTCAATACTATATTCTTCTAATCATTATTTTGGTACTTGATTGCCGTTTACATTCGATAAGCAGGCTACGCTATGATATCATTATCTAGTCTATATATTTATTTACTGTGATACTGTTGGCGGTGTGCACGCATAGTGATTAATTGATGCTTTTGTCTATACATCATGCTCCATGGTTGCTGGATGCTGAAAGCAGCGGGTAATCGTTTCCAATGCTCGGAAAGCAGTGGAATCTAAATTTTGATCCCCCGATCTGAACCCCATGTCTTAACTTGTTCTTGTCATAGTGGTGTGCTTTAAGAAGGATGAAGCTGTTCTGCTATATTTATAATAGTACTATCATTTTTCATGTGTTGGGTGGGAATAATGGTATGTGACTGATTTTTCCTTTGTATGTGTATTTAAAGATATGGTTCGGCGTAGAGATGCCTGTTGGGAGCATTGTGTCCTGGTCGATGCAACGAAACAGAAGGTTAGGTGTAATTATTGCGAAAGGGAGTTCAGCGGAGGGGTTTATAGGATGAAGTTCCATTTAGCCCAGATCAAGAACAAAGACATTGTGCCTTGTTCAAAAGTTCCAAATGATGTGAGGGACCATATTCGAAGTATATTGAGCACTCCCAAGAAACAGAAAACTCACAAAAAACCTAAGGCTGATTGGGCTGCTAATGGTCAACAACATAGCTCTTCGGGCAGTGAGAACTCCCATGCAAACCATTATTCTAGTGGACAGGGTGGAAGCACTTGTCCCCCTCTGTTTCTTGCACAGACTTCACCTAGTCTACCAGCAGTTGATGATGCCCAAAAACAGAAACAGGATTACGCTGACAAGAAAATTGCTACATTCTTTTTCCATAATTCTATCCCTTTTAGTGCTACCAAATGCATATACTATCAGGAAATGGTGGATGCTATAGCAGAGTGTGGATTGGGCTATAAAGCCCCGACCTATGACAGCCTGAGATCTGTTCTTTTGGAGAAAGTGAAAGATGATATACAAGATTGCTATGGAAAATTTAAGGATAACTGGAAGGATTGTGGATGTACAGTTTTATGTGAGAGCCGGTGCAGCACGAAGAGTAAATCACTTGTAGTATTTACAGTCACGTGTCCTAAAGGGGCAATGTTTTTGCGGTCAGTCGATGTATTGGGTCATGAAGATGATGCTACATATTTGTTTGAGTTGATAGAAACCATTGTTTTAGAGGTTGGCTTGGATAATGTTGTTCAGGTGATAACTGACAGCACCACTAGTTATATTTATGCAGGAAGACTCCTCATGGATAAGTACCCATCCCTTTTTTGGTCTCCCTGTGCATCTTATTGTGTTAATAAGATGTTGGAGGACATGAGCAAACAAGCCTGGGTGTGCACAGTGCTGGAGGAGGCAAAGATTATCGCACAATACATATACAGCAATACCTTGAGGTTGGGTATGATGAGGAAATTAGATGACGGGAAGGAGTTGATCAGGCCAAATATAACTCAGTTTGTGACCGGCTTCCTCTCCTTAAGGTCCATAGTTATCCAGGAGGACAATTTGAAACATATGTCTTCTCACACGCAGTGGTTCTCATCTGACTACAGTAGATGCCCTGAAGCCCAGGCCTTTAAGTCCTTGTTACACTCTGAGAGATTTTGGAAGTCCGCTCATGAAGTCATGAGTGTGTCAGAACCACTAATTAAAATCTTGAGGATGGTTGATGGGGATTTGCCTGCGATGGGTTATTTGCATGAGGCAGTGGAGAGGGCAAAGATCTCAATCAAAGATTACTACAAGGGTGTTGAAGAGAGATATATTCCTTTTTGGGATATAATTGACCACAGATGGAATATGCAGCTTCAGTTGTCAATACACGCTGCAGCTGCATTTCTGAATCCATCAATCTTTTACAACCAAAACTTCAAAATCGACCTTAGAATTAGGAATGGATTTCAGGAAGCCATGAGGAAGGTGGCTTGCAGCGACATGGATAAAGTGGAAATTACAAAAGAACATCCTGTATATATTAATGCGCATGGTGCCCTTGGGACCGATTTTGCTATCATGGGACGAACTTTGAATGCTCCAGGTATGTTCTATAAACAGCAAGATTTGAACTTTCATATCGCGTGACACACAATGTGGAGATTTTATACCTTTTCAAGACATAAACAGGTGCACAGTATATCCTTACCAAAAAAAACAGGTGCACAGTATAAATGTTTCTCAACATGGCATGACTCACTTGTGAGTAAAATTTTTGTCTTATCTGTATGCAGATTCAGGGTTGGTGTCCATCATTATGATTTACAATCCTTAAGATTAGCTTTACTGGTTGAATTTTTTTTAGTGAAAAAGCCATGAAAAAATAAGTTGGGGAAATTTCATTTTGGTACCCAAAGTGAGGCCTTTTTCTCAATTTGGTACCCAAAGTGGACATAGTCCCAAATTGGTACTCAAAGTGCCCATTCAGTCTCAATTTGGTACCCAAAGTGCCCATTCAGTCTCAATTTGGTACCCAAAGTGAACATAGTCCCAAATTGGTACCCAAAGTGCCCATTTAGTCTCAATTTGATACCCAAAGTGCCCATTCAGTCTCAATTTGGTACCTGAGTTCGCCGGCCGGTCAAATGCTCACCGGCCGGCAAGAAATTTACTGTTCCGGCTACCGAAACAGTATTTTTTTTACTTTTTTTTTTTTTTTTTTTCCCTTTTTCTGTTTTTTTTCTTTTCCTTTTCCTTTTCTTTTTTGTTTCCTTCTTCCCTCCGCCGGCCACAGCCATGGCCGGCGGAGGTCGCCGGCGTCGGGCGAGGGCGGCCCTCGCCTGGGCTGGCGAGGGTCGCCCTCGCCGGCGTCGGGCGAGGGCCACCTCGCTTGGGTCGGCCCTCGCCCGACGCAGCGAGGGCCGCCCTCGCCCGACGCCGGCGAGGGTGACCCTTGCCCTCGACAGGATCTCGGCGAGGGTCACCTCTCCGGCGTCGGGCGAGGGCGGCCCGCCTGCGTCGGGGCGAGGCCACCTCGCCGGCGGGCGAGGCCGACCCTACCCAGATCCGGCGAGGGCGAGGGTTGCCCTCGCCGGATCTGGCGAGGGTCACCCTCGCCGCGTCGGGCGGCGGCCTCGCTGGGGCGGCGAGGTCGCCCTCGCTGCGTCGGGCGAGGGCCGACCCAAGTGAGGGTGGCCTTCGCCGACGCCGGGCGAGGGCGACCTCGCCACCCGTGCGAGGGCCGCTCGCCCGGCACGCCGGCGAGGGCCGGCGCCGGCGACCTCCGCCGGTCATGGCTGTGGTTGGCGGAGGGAAGAAGGAAACAAAAAAGAAAAGGAAAAGGAAAAGAAAAAAAACAGAAAAAGGGAAAAAAAAAAAAAAAAAAAGTAAAAAAAATACTGTTCCGGTAGCCGGAACAGTAAATTTCTTGCCGGCCGGCGAGCATTTGACCGGCCGGCGAACTCAGGTACCAAATTGAGACTGAATGGGCACTTTGGGTACCAAATTGAGACTAAATGGGCACTTTAGGTACCAATTTGGGACTATGTCCACTTTGGGTACCAAATTGAGAAAAAGGCCCCACTTTGGGTACCAAAATGAAATTTTCCCAAATAAGTTTTACAGAGGGCAAATGTATGAAATCAACAGATGAGGTCTTTCCATGTTTGGTTGAAGACCCAGGGATGCATTGATTTAATTAGTTGCATCATCTGGGGACTCTTGGAACTGATCATAGGTTGGCTTACCAGATCAGATTTTACTTCCTACATTTGGTTCAATGCTTCCTGGTTTTCTTACCCCATTTTCCGTCATCATTGCATATAGCTTAAACATTGATTCGTTTTAATCGATGAACTTTGTCTAAATTGTCACTATGCAAACTCTAGGTGATTGGTGGGCAGCATACGGATATGAAATCCCTATGTTGCAGAAAGTAGCAATTCGCATATTGAGCCAACCTTGTAGTTTGCACTGGTGCAAATGGAACTGGACCACCTTTGAGAGCCTGCATACCAAGAAGTGGAACACAGCAGAGTTCGAAAAGTTTGGCAATTTGGTCTTCCTGCACTGCAACCTTTGGTTGAAAGCCATACGGGAAAGCTGGGACAGAAGATGTAAACCTATAAATTTCGATGAGATAGATGTTTGCTCTGATTGGCCTACTGAGTTGGATCCTTCAGCTCCTTTATTAATTGATACTTGGTTGGACGATTTGCCGGCGGAATGTAAAGTTGTCCCAGACTTTGCTGATAACCAGAGAATAGGATAGAAATAGAGCGACAGAGTTAGCATGGTTTGTCCCCCTTGTAGAGTAGAATTTGTCTAATTTTCACATGTTTCGTCAATAGTGCAAAGGGGATCAGTCATCAATCACTGCCACCATCAGAACCGGGTGATTTTGCCTAATCCAAAGGATTATATACTTCAAGAAACAATGCACATTAGGACATTTTTCAAGCCTGATCGGGACATCCAATTAACGTCCCTAACTAAATCGGGATGTCTTGGCCAAACGTCGGAACAGCGTCGAGGTTGACAGTGTCCCGGTGGAACATTGGGATGCACCATGACAAATGTCCCAAAGATTAAAACGCTAGGGTGTTTCTCATATTAACCTATTTTTGTGCACTTTTACAATGCCACATAACTGTAAATGTTTGTCTGACCTCTTGAAAGGAACCAATCCCTGTCGTCACGATGAACTCGAATGCGCATTGACACTGCCGATAAGACAACTGAATATATAGCTATAACCAAATGGGGCGCATTAATAACCGCTAGCATGATAAACTTACGAATGATCCGTGTCCGCATGTAAATGGTACTAACAGTTAGATTCTAATGCAGTTATCTAATGTAACAAGTAGTCCAAAGCGCTAACATTTTCTTACAAAATGACGTTAAGCAAAAGAAATATAATATAACCATCAATTCGTATCATCACTTTCTCCAAGACCTGGCTCTCTTGGTCTTCTTGATCATCATTTACTCCTCCAAATGGACAGATCAAACTGCATAAAACAAACAATATTCAATATGACAATCGGGGGCAAACCACCTGTTAGAACCTTTCGCTCTGAAATGCAACCTATGCGTATGTATCCACCGAGGATCCTTCCACCACACTTGGATATTGCTATATCAAAGTACAGTGTGCGGCCAGTTGACCTTCACAACAGACATATCTGAATCATGCTCCGTCTGTAAAGTGAATAACACCGATTTGGCTCATTTGGCAGAGCTTTCCCGAGGTCCCTTAGGCCTCAAAAGACGCTTGGGCAAATGCTAAAGTGTTTTGGTAAAGAATTTTGAGACCCCATTTGGACTAGCATTTCCAAAGTGCTCTAAGGCAAGATCCAGTTTTTAGCTCTTATCAACAGCTGAAATTCCAAATCCCATTTTCCGGATCAATACATCCCTTCGAAGTTACTGCAGACAGTATTTACCAAACACTATCGCATTTATGTAAAGGCTTTGGACAAATGCTCTCTCTTAGATTTGGCACACTTTATTATCGTTTCTAGATTGCGCGCAATGTTTGTGATGTGGAGAGGCATGTAGCAGCGACACCAAACCCGTAACCTGGCATTCTTCCATACCGATCCTCTCCGATTGACTCGTTGTAGGCACTATTTTCGAGAGACTCCGCAGATTGAAGACGCTTTTGTACTATAGCAGTTGCTTTATCCCAGAAATATTACCAGCTCAAACATATATTTTATTTTGAAAACTAGACAAATGATGAAAAATAGAATCAAAGTTATTATTGAAAAGCTAAACAGGATCTAAGAAAATCAGTCCCAGTTGGATTGATCAGTCCCAGTCCTAGAATTATCTGCATATCAGTCCCCGAGATCAGTCCAGGGACAGATCGGTCCTAGATAAGTCCAATTTTTTGGAATGATTCTGCAGAATGGACTGATCCTGTGACTTATTCTGTACGTTAGTCCCAAGTGAGTGAATGAGCGATGCTCTGTAGGAGAGACTGAGCTTACCTTAATTTCTGTTCCAAAAATCAATTTCTGGAGCAGAATTAGTCATGTTTTATCTAACAGATTTCTCCTCAAAAAATCAATTTCTGGTAAGAATTCCGGAAATCAATTTCTGACAAGAATTTAATTTCTGGAGCAGAATGATTACCATTCGCGCCCTTATTCTATACATTAGTCTCAAGTGAGTGAATGAGCGATGCTCCGAAGGAGAGGCCAAGCTTATGTGACTCTAGTATGGGGTGAACGAGTAAAGGAAGGCTAACAACCGTACTATCGCTATCTCAAGTGTGGCCTGACACGTGTCCCTGTGCCTATAGTTTGGGACGAAAAAATAGAGTCCCCATGGTCTCGTATCCCAGGACGCTCACTGAAACGTTCCACACCGTGACACCGGTTTAATAACAACTATACGTACATTTTTAAGATTAAGATGCTTGATCACTGATGCCCTTCAAATTTCGTCCCAATTTGCCCTGTTTCTTGTAGTGATACCATTATGCCAGTTCTTCACTACAGAAAAGAAATTGGGGAAGTTCAGCATGCAAGAATTCGGTGGTGATTCATTGGAAATGAAAGATTGGTTAAATTCGGTGGTGATTCTGGACCTGAAGTGATTAGAAAGCTCCAGTAAGTTGCGTGTAAAGTTCTCATCTCTTTTCTTCCCCTGCTCAACAGTCAGTTTCACCTTTTTAAGTCAAAATCTACTCTTTCCCAGTATACAAATTTCGCGCAAGCCTAAAATGCCAACACTACATGCAGTTCTGAGCTTCCTGCCCAATCAATCTTAGAACCTATATAAACTATAATGCACAGGAAACTCGCGTGAGGCATTGTTCTATTTGCTACTATAACTTCTAAAGTGAACAAACGAAATAAATCAGCATTCAGATACTTGTGGTTTTCAAGAGTTATGTAACGTCTGGTCATTGAGTATTCCGCTGTAATAGAAAACACAATCACTGTACAGTAATTTTAACATATTATCTTGCCCGCCAAGTACACTCAACACCCAAAAAATAAATCGACATCGATCGATTGGCTGTGAGACAGCAGATACTTTCTGGCTATAGGAAGGTGAAAGCCACCATTATGTACAACAAAATTTCGAGGACAATGTCCTGCAGACTAGGGTTTAATTACTATCCCGTGCACGGACAAGACGACCACTTTGAAGCAAAAAAGCTGGAAAAGGAACCTGGCAATTCCGAAAATGTGATTTCAACTGGGGAATGTTTGGATGCGCACTTCTACATCTGTGGCAACGTAACTCCATAGAAAGTAGACTCTTGTCGTCTTTTATCATTGCTTTCCCATTCTTATTCACCTCCTCAATGACATCAACTGAGTCACGGAAGAAAGCAGTGTTAAATGAGTTCCAATGCTTCTTATTCTTGAGATGAACTGAATTAAAATCTTGGCTGATAACATGGAGGTGAAGCTGTCTCATTGAGGGTGCCTGCAAGAGGAAGTATGTTAATTTCCCTTTTGAGGTTTCATCGCAGAATTTTAATTTAATACTGAAGAAAATCCAAAGTACACAATGTACATGCTGGTGGATGCAGAGTTGAGACAATTGTCACTTGTCTATAGCATTAGGTCTTTCTCCAACATCAACAATTGCTAGCCGCATTGGAGGATTGGAGCAAGACAAGTTTGGTTGCTCAAGGTACCATTATGAAATGAGTTATAGCGAGGCTGAAGACTTCATCTCAGTGACGAAAGCCAGAGGCAACAATACTCATCTGACTTACTTGCATTGACATTTTGTATAAGCATTGGCAACATCACCATCGAAAGGCTTTCTACCAAAAAGTTTGCAGCCAAAGGAGATTACAGCAATATTGAAATAGACAGTAATGACAGGTAGCAGAATGATTCTCAAAACTTTCCCAACAAAAGCCAAGCCCGGGTTCTTAATAACTGATTTCGGTATTCTGGCAGAAAGTTCTGCCGGTACACTACATACCTTCAGCAAACTACAAAAAAAGCATTGTCATTACCATTGTGCTCCTTTTAAATTTTGTTATTTGAGCATATGATAGAAGAGTTTATATTGTAAAGATTGGGGGGAATAAGGTACTCCACATGAGGTGCACTAGATTGCCATTTCCGTAAGCATTTAGGTGCATGCGCATCCCAGTGTGTAAGTGCTTGCATCAAATATCAAGACATTTGCACCAACTGATAGCCCCAGATAAAAAGGTTGCAGCATACCGAGTGACATCCAAGACGGAAAACTAGTTCAGAATCTTCATGCAAGAACTTCTCAACCCACTCCAAGCCAATGGCATGCATTCTCCGCAACAGTTCAAGGTGTACTTCATGCACATCTGCCAGGCAATCAAGACCTCTAGCTCGTGCCAAGATGAGAATGTGCTTCTGTGCCTATTCAAAGAAAAATCCTAGATAAATTAAATTCGCCAACCAAGAGAACCAAAGGAACAAAGAAGCAAGTTAGTATTTACCTTAGGATAAGCATCATTTAGCACAACAACATCCTCTAGTATTTCCAAAACGTCATCCTTATGCTTTTCTGGATGCATGGCAATATGATAGAGAGCCTGGGTCCAAGAGCCCCATGTTTTTGTCATTCCTCTATTGGTAGTTTGGATACCTGAATCTGAATATCCAGTTCTGGGATGTGTGATGTCAATCTCAACTTCATCTTCAGATCCTCTACTCTTTTTGCTGCTAAGAGATACATCGGCATCATCTCTCTTATTCTTCAAATCACCATTTCCAACACTTTTATCAAGACCAAGTCCAGAGGGATGCAAGAACTCTTCATTCCTTTTTGTAACTGATTTTTCTTGTATCTTCAATAGAGACAAGAGTCCTTCAAAGAGTGATGTATATGCTTGACGGAGAACCATGCAGCCTTTATTATAATCATTATTAAGACAATTTGGTCTTTGTGGGTTCATATTTGGCCCAAGGACATGGATGACATGTGTTATCCCTTCCCTGTTGTACAGCGGAGAAGTTGAAGGAAGAGGAACAACCACGGCACTACCTGGGAAAAGTGACTTAGCTCGTTCATTTGTTGCCATTTCCAGATCCGCACCTGCAGCCTTAAAAATAGCAGCATTAACGCCTCCACCTCCAGGTTTTAATCGCCTACACAATATTATGTTCTGGTTAATCCTCATGAAGTGCTATAAAAATTAGAAACAGACTATTCAATTCTTTTACCCTGGGAAAGTGAAAGAAATAAGAGAGATGATCACAAAACCAAATGCATTTATGATTTTTCCTTCTAAAATTTTTCATGCATAATGATCTTGGAAACAATAATTGACCCAATTACAATGAGAAGTTATGACCCAAAGCCTAAAGGATATCCTTCATGCATTGCTTCACAAAACTCCCACAGTACAGCATCTCACTATCTATTTCAAATAGAAATAGATTGGCTTCTACTCAATAACATGAATGATTTCTATTCCAGAAATCTCACCAATTGGC